AGGTCATTGGTTACTATCACTCTTATCCATTTTATTAACATATTCTAATATATATTGTTGATTTGGATAAAATTAAGAGCATTAATAGTCTAAAAAATTAATAGAATTATAAAAAATAAATAATTAAAATAGATTATATGATAGATTTACTTCTGTTAGTCCACATTTATCTGGCAAGATAACTTATAGTGGTTTGTAAAAGTAACTAGATTTTCATATTATACTTAAGTTAATCCTTGTGGAATGATAGTCTACTCATCCTTTTATTACTTTATTATGACACATACACTTACATATAGAGCTATATTTTTCATATCCTTTTATAATATTGTGGGCTTACATAAAAAGTTTTTTGCATCAATACTAAATATTTAAAAGTTGTTTTGAGGAAGTTGATATTAATTCTAAAAATAACTAATTATTTTTTTTATTTTCAATTTTTGTTACTATATTAATGTATGTGTTTAACCTTGTTTAGATTTTGATTGCCATCTTGTTGTTAGTAATCTATATTGTTGTAAGCAAAAGGAAAGAAAAATATTGTTATGTTTTTGTACAATTGTTACATTCAATTTAGAATTCAAGATTTTTTTCATTCATGTTTATGTTAATTTACTTATTCCATATGTTCTAGTTTATTAATTTGTGGAAACATGTTCATTACAATTGAGAGTTATAGATTTGCTTTTGTAATTGTAAATATTTATTGAATATTGCAATAGGGTTCAAGCTTTTCTTTCTTAATTTGACCTAGAAATAAAAAAAAGAACACTTAGACAAATTAAAAAATAAAAATAATAAAAAGAATTAAAAATAGCAAGCCCTAGTAATGATAATGACCAGTCTAGACTTTGAAGCTAATCCTTTAGTATATATATATTTTTGAAGAATACTAAAAAGCATAGATTAAAGCAAAGAAGAAAAGAAGAAACCTAGATACAAGCTAATGAGTAGAAACTACCATATCACATTCTTTCTTCAACAACTGAACGAAAGAATTAGGTAGATCCTTCTCAGAAAAGTACTCCCAAAAAAATTCATAAGAAAAGGCTAAGTTAGCACAAAAGTGGACTAACTTATTACAATTTCGTCTTACATGATGAAAGACGACCTTATTAAAACCCTTCCCAATAAAGAAATCATCTTCATCATCATCAAAATTATCATCCAATTTCTTTTCTCTACTGTACAATTGAAGAAATTGGATGATATTACAATTATCACTTTCAACTATAATACCAATGGCATCAAGTAATTTACCTTTTAGGAGCTTATTTAAAGAATTGATAGCCAATAATTCAACTTGTGCAATATCCCAATGAACTCCATAGAAACCGAAAGCCATGATGAATCTTCCTTTAAAGTCTCGAATGACACCTCCAATTCCTGCTTCATAGTTCTTCTTGAGTGCAGCATCAATGAATCTTCCTTTAAACTCTTGCTTATACAAATCAAAAGCCATTAAGAATCAAAAAGCAGTCCCAAGGACTGATGTACATCCCAGTGGTTCGATTGAATAAGGTTGAGCTTCTTACAATTTACTAAGCTCAAAATATTTGAAGCTGTTAATGTATCACAATTTTCCATCTTACCATGCTTGCTCTTATTTCTGTTGTTCCAGGAAAACCAAAGCAAAGTGCAATAAAACCTAGCCATCACCGGATTTGTATAAGCAAGAGTTTCCAATTTACTCCAACAGTCCTGGAAAGAATTGTATTTAGGAATCATAAATCCCCAACTTCTTAACACATTAATAATCCTCAATAGTTTAAGATAAGAAGTGGTGATGTGATCCAAATCCTCAGCAACTCAACAACCTCTAGGACAACAATTACCATTTACAAGCCTTCTTCTCATTAAGAAATCTGCAGTTGGTAAAGCTGATTTACCAATTCTCCACATAAACAATTCAACACGGGAGTTCAACTTTAATTTATGTATCCAATTAACTGGAACAGAGTAAGAATCTGAGGAAAGTTCTTCATACAACAATTCCTCCTTAATCAATGAAGAAATTGATTTTCTAGAGTATCTTCGTTTTAGCTCCAAGAAATCACCATCATCCATGTTAGAAATTTGAATATTGCTGATTAGAGCTATAAGCTCTTTTCCAAAGAATAAAGATAATTTCTCTAGATCCCAACTTCCATCATGAATGAAGAAGTCCAGGTATATGTTTTCATCATCAAAATTTCCAACAAAGGTCGGCCACCTGATCAGGCTCTAATCAAATATCCACACATCCTTTAGAACATTAATTTTACTTCCCGTCACCACTCTCCATCTAACAGCCTTTTTAAGAGCATCCCGCCCAGATTTTAAAGTCTTCCAAGAAGGAGAACCACCCTTCTTATTGTCATCATTCCATCATTCTTCTCCATATATGCTTAACATGTTTTTATTCAGCAATTAATTTTGAACCTCTACTAACTTCCAAGCAAACTTGGCTCTTAAGGATCCCACGCTAGAAAGTGCAGATTTGATCCCCAAACCTCCCAAAGCTTTTGGCTTACAAAGTGCATTCCAAGCTACATAATGTAACCCATGACTTCCATCTACTTTATTCCATATATAATTCCTACATAACCTTTCAAATTCCTTCAAAACTCCTAAAGGAATGAGAGAGTGTGAGCTAATAAAACAGGGAAGTTGACATAAACCGAATTCACCAACACCATCCTTCCTGCCAAAGAGATGAATTTATTACTCCAAGAGTTCAACTTCTTCATAGATTTGTCCAAGAGAGATTGATAATCAGTCTTCTTTAATCTTCTAAGTGCAATTTTAACTCCCAAGTACTCCATTTCATCTTCCGCCTTAAAACCCATGAAATCATCCGCCGCCTTAAAACCCATGAAATATGTATTCATCTTCTTCTTCCTTCTATCAACTCTTTTACCATAAATCATAGCAGAATCCTATAGTATATGGAATCCATAAAAACCTTCATAAGCCAAATATTCAAGAAATTAGACAACTTGTAACTTAAAGCTATAATCCTTCAAACAGCCAAAACTCTTAGTTTGGGGATCTCCTATTGAGGATCATAACCTTATATTTCCCATTTTTAAAAATATGTATAAATTTTTAATTTAATAAAGTTTTTTATGACATTATTAGACATATATTATTATAAGTTTGAATAGGTTGTTAGACCTGTTACAATCATCTCAATGTTAACCAAGAGGGGGGAGTGAATTGATAATTTAAAAGTCTCTTGGTTAATTATAGAAAATTGTTTTATGATTATAGGCACAAAGATTTTTTTTTAAAATCAAATTTTCAACCAAAAAATTAAATGTGCAAAAAAATAAAAATAGAAGAACACATAAATTTATAGTTGTTTAGTCCAACAAGACCTATGTCCACTCCCTGAAGACTCTATCTTCAAGTATTGCGCTATACCAAAGTGACTCTCCTTTTGCTCCCATAGTAAGGTGGAGAAGCCCTTACAATTAACTTCTCTTCCACCAATCCCTAATGCTATAGAGTATCATCATTCTTTTTCACTCTCCTGGTGATGGCCGAGAATAGGCATCATTTCACACCCTTAAGTGTCGGCAGAGAACTGTCATCCTGTCACACCCTCTTGGTGTTGGCATAGAACCGTCGTCCTTTCACAACATCCTGGTGTTGGCAGAGTACCGTCTCTCCTTTGAAAATCTTCTTCCATGAAACTTCAAGAGTGAAGGGAAGACCTTTGAAGAATAAACGTGAGATACTCACCATTAGGAAATCTTGTGAATCTCCTCATAATTCCCTCTTAAGAAATCTCTCACACCCCAATTACAAAAACTCTCCCAAACACTATCCAAGTGTACTCTCAAAAGAAGTTTGTAGAAGAAAATTTGTAAGAGTTCATATGTCAGTCAATTTTTAGGACCTTATATGAAAGACATAAAAAACTATCTAAAAAATAGAAAATTTCAATTTATCTGTTAAGGATCGTACAGTACGATCACACATCATATGTACGATAAATTCAAAAATTTCTTGGATGATCTGTACGAATCAATTTAGTACTCTGCTTGGCATACATACGAATTGACATAGTGCAGTACAATCAGTTCAAAATTAAACCAATTTATTTGGTATGATTCTGTATGAACCTCTTTCATACTCTGGATATTATATTTTATGAAATTAATATAATATAGTATAATCTAATTAACGAAAATCATGCTTTATTTGGTACAAAAATGGACGAGTCCATTTTATACTTTGGACATTGTCTATACGAACCTAAGATCGTATAGTATGAACATTTCAAAAAATTTACCTGTTCGTATGGATGAAATGACAAGCTCCTATTTCATACTCTGGACATCGTTTGTACAAACATATGATCGTACAATATGATCAGTTCAGAAAATTTTGAATTCATTCAGAATGAACTAGTATGTATCCATTTCATACTATGGACATCGTCTATACTAATATTACTTCATACAGTATGAACAAGACTTAGAAATTTTTTCCTAGCATGATTTGATCATTATCATTCTGGAGGAACAATTGATCAAATCATACAGTATGATCTATGATCATACAATATGATTAGTTTAAAAAACATAAGTTTTTGGCACTCCCCAAGTGCGTGTGTGCACTGTTAACCAATTACATTCACACTCTCTTAAACTCAAGAAAAAATATAAAAAGTACAGACTTTAATTACAATAAATTATAATCTAATCTGTCTTGAAGTCTTCAACAGTTTGGAGTATGATTTTCCTAAAATGTTAGTATACGAAAACAACAAAAACAATATTTCTAATATATTTTAGGAGAAATAATAATCAACACAATAAGACTTTGGAATAATAAAAAACACACATGATATGAAAATATAGTTATGAAAACTAAGTTGCAACAATTATTTCCATTTTATTTGAGAGATAAGATAAAATTATAGTTAAATTTTTTACCTCTTGCTCTATCACAACATGGAATGAATTAGCCTAGACGTTTTTAGCTAAGTATTTCCCTCATTTAAGACTACCAAGCCTAGGAATGATATTACATCTTTCAACTATTTAGTTGTGGAGTAAAATTTTGAGGTATGAGAGAGGTTTAAGGAACTTTTTAGGAAGTTCCCACAACATACTTTACCTATTGGTTGATTATCCAAACATTTTATAAGGGTTTTGTTTATTCCCTTAAACCTATTATAGATGATGCAACAAGATGTTTTTTGATGTCCACGCCCTTTGATAAAGCTTGTATTTTAATCATGGAGATATCTACCAATAATTTCTAGTGGCATTTTGATAGAATGAACCTTATAAAGGTTCTTAACATGCTTGAATCTGATGTGTTTCCAATTTTTTACGTCACAGGATGTTTCCATTTTTAGGAAACTAGACAACTTAAGTGTTAGTGCAAACTCATGAACACATATTCTCTCGATTACACATTTGCATCAAGACTCATCTACATGGCCTTCATTCTGTTCAGGTCATAGACTTGTAACTAGAAATTGACAGGACATAGGTTTTCTCTCTTAGGCTAGCTCTCTTCTTTCTTCGCCTGGGAGGTTTGTAAAGTAGAAAGAGAAAGTCAAGGCTGTCGGCTCCTCTTTTCCAGGTTAGGTAGTATGTACTTTTTCTCGAACATTTGACATAAATAGCCATCTCTTACGTAAGCTTCTGGTAAGGGGAATGACTTTTCTTGGTACGGGCCAAGGGGTATTCAGTCTTTCAGGCTAGCCTGAACACCATATGCTGCTCAAGCCGCGACATTTAACGCTATTCGTACATTAGTTGATCAAGGTACCGAATTCTTGGGTTCCCCCCCCCTCCGAAGTGGCTAAAGATCAATGTTGACGGGGCTCTAATTCCAAATAATGCTGCTGGAATTGGGATGGTGATCCGGGATGAACAAGGCAATCTCATCACAACTGTTGGATGGAACCTAATCCATTGGGACAGTACAGCCGTGGAATTGAAAGCCATGAACTTATTGACAGGATTGTGGAGGGCTGGATGCTCGAAGTGATGGGTGTCATCATCGAGGGGGACAACGCTTCCGTTATTCAGTTCAGTTCATGCAAGAGTTTGAGTACAGGCAGAGATGGGAGGATTGGCCTCAGGAGGGTGATCTCTTCTCGTGGATGAAGCTTTTTCATAGAGTTCTTTTTGTGCATACCTATAGGAATGCAAATAAGGCTGCCCATTTTTGTGCCCAACTGGCTTTATACGGGGACTTTTTTTGGAAAGGTGTTGATAGGAATTTTGATTGTATTCCTCAGGATCCTAGAGAAACCAATGTATGGAATGCATAATGATCCTGGATCATCAGATTCAAAATCTTTAAATTTTATTAATAAGCATAGTAACTGATGGAGGGTGCAGCATATGTGAACACATATAGTGCAATGAATGTATATTATTGACGTGCTTTGGGTCGAAATATGCTTCTTCTTTTTTTGATGATTCACCCACTAAATATGTAAGTGCACGTTTCTATCAAGTAATAAAGTTATATGATATTATGTCGATCACACAAGGAAGTGTTTTACTAACATGCAAGTAAACTATTACTGCCTATTATAGCTACGATATTTATCCTACTATATGAAAATCAAGGTTTGGTTCTATCACCAAAGAAAACTATAAAATAAATATAAGATATCATGTGATAAAAAAATTTGGACTATTGAATGCAAATTACAAAAGTTTTCCTAATGAGAATCTTCTTTATTGATGTATATCAGAGCATATGCATCCATAGATCTTCGTTGAGCTTGCATGGATGTAAAAGGAGGTTTATAGCCATACTACAGTGGTTGTATCTCTATAGAGCATAGAAGTTTAAACATCCTATATCTAGACATGCAAACATTCCATTTGAATTCTCCTATTTATTATAATATTCATTTGCCAAGGATATATATCATTCTATTTTTTAACTATAACATTACCACTATTTAAATTAAATTAAGATTGAGAAATATTTGTAATGATAGAGCTCAATAAAAAACTATTTATATGATGTATAAAAATGGACTCAAGATCCAAAATCTTTAAATGGTGGCATCATAGTGTTATAAAATAAACTAGCACCTCGACGCTGCATGATTGCTCCACTGTGACACTACGCTGACTCATCACATCTACTAGTTAAATTGATGTCTTAGTTGGTTAATTCGATGCAGATTTATATTTCATTAGCTTCTTTTCCATGACTCTGCAGAAGTTGAGCAATGCATCACTAAAATGTGTAATTTAGCATTGCTTTATAGTGAAGCTCGATGCTCCAACACTCAAATTCTCGAGACTCAAGTGTTGTGATGCTGATTGTTGGTCCTATGACATTGAACTTCCATTCATCGAGGCATTAAAATAATTTCCATTTTTATGAAGACTTGGGCACTATAATTTCTTAATTTGATATCAAGGCATTCTAGACATTGCAACATTAGTTGTTAGAGAACAGAGATGTTGGTTCAACACATATGCTTTTTTTTTTCTTTTTCCTAAGAATTATCTCCATAATACAAATTAAAATTATGATTTTTAATCTTATTTTAAAAAATAAAGTACTATAAAATTTATACTTAACAAAATTTCCCCAGCTTAAACTCTTACTTGTCCTCAAGTAATAGTGTAATCACCCATTGATTAACCTTATTTTTGCTCTTTAGGTGAATGATATTGATAAGCTCAGTAATTCCATATAACATACACATATACTGTTATATGTGTATGTTAATACAATAATGTAATAACATGTACATATAAAACTTATACATAGCATATATAAACTTGTATAACTCATGTATAATGCTTATACATAGCATGTATAAACTTATACAATGTGTGTATAATTTTTATTTATAGTATGTAAAATGTTTGACATATCGTGTATAAACTTGTACATAGTGTGTATGATACTTGTATATTGTATATAAAACTTATACATAGTGTGTATAAATCTTATACATAGTATTTATAATGCTTATACATAGTGTGTACAAACTTATATATAATATGTATAATGCTTGTACAAAGCGTATACAAACTTATACATAGTGTGTGTATTATTTATCGATAGTGTGTATAAACTTCTATATAGTATGCATAAAGCTTGTATAAACTTATACTTAGTATGTATAATACTTTTATATAGCGTGTATAATACTTGTATATTGCATGTGCAATACTTATATATAACTTGTACATAGTGTATATAAACTTATTCAGAGTGTATATTACTTAAGAATAGTGTGTATAATGCTTGTACATATCGTGTATAAATATGTACATAGTGTGTATAATACTTGTATATTGTATTTAACATAGTATAAAATGCTTGTATAAACTTATATATAATGTGTATAATTCATGTATATAGTGTGTGCAATGCTCGTACATAGCGTGTATATAGTGTGTATAATTCTTATATATAGCATGTATAACCTTGTACATAATATATACAATATTTGTATTAACATGTACATAGTGTGTATAATACATGTACATAGCATGTATAATGCTTATACATAACGTGAATAAACTTGCACATAGTATATAAAAATTATGTATATAGCATTTATAAACTTATACATAGTTTGTCTAAGTCTTTTACATTACATGTATAAACTTGCATTTAGTGTATAAAAATTATATATATTACATGTATGAACTTATACATGATGTGTATAATCATGTATAAACTTGTACATAATGTCCATAAACTTATTCATAGTTTGTATAATCTTTATATATAGCGTGTATAAATTAGTACATAGTCTATATAATGCTTGTACATAACATGTGTATAATGTTTGAATAAACTTGTACATAGTGTGTATAATGGGTTTTTATAGTATTTATAATGCTTGTACATAGAATGTACAAACTTGTACATAATGTGTATAATGCTTGTATAAGCTTATACATAGTGTGTATAATGCTTATACATAGTATCTATAATACTTATATAAACTTGTATATAGTGTGTATAATGATTGTACATAGCATGTACAAAGTTGTACATAGTTTTAATAATGCTTATATATAGTGTTTACAAACATATACATAGTGTGTATAATGCTTATACATAATATGTATAAACTTATATATAGTGTGTATAAATTTATACATTACAAGTATAAACTTCTATATAGTGTGTATAATACTTATATATGACATGTACAAACTTGTACATAATGTATAAAATACTTATACATAACGTGTATAAACTTATATAATTCATGTATAATGCTTATCCATAACATGTATAAACTTATATATAGTGTGTATAGTACTTATACATATCATGTATATAGTGTGTATAATACTTATATATAGTGTGTATTAACTTAAATATAGTGTGTATAATTCTTCTTTATAGTGTGTAAAATACTTGTACATATCATGTGTAAACTTGTATATATTGTGTAAAATACTTGTATATTGCATGTTAAACTTATAGATAATGTGCATAAAACTTGTACATAGTATTTATAATGCTTATACATAGTATATACAAACTTATATATAATATGTTAAATGCTTGTACATAGTATGAATAAACTTGTACATAGTGTGTATAATATTTAATGATAGTTTGTGTAAACTTCTACATAGTATGCATAATGCATGTATAAACTTATACATATTATGAATAATACTTTTATATGGCATGTATAATATTTTTATATAGCATGTAAAATGCTTATATATAACTTATATAAACTTGTGCATAGTGTATATAAACTTATTCAGAGTGTATAATATTTATGAATGGTGTGCATAATGCTTGTACATAGCATATACAAAATATGTACATAGTATGTATAATACTTATATATAATATTAAAAGTAGTGTAGAATGCTTGTATAAACTTATATATAATGTGTATAATTCATGTATACAATGTGTATAATACTCATATACAATTTGTATATAGCATATATAACGTTTGTACATAACGTGTATAAACTTATACATAATGTATATAATGCTTATACATAGTATATATAAACTTGAACAAAATTTGTTCAATATTTATATAAACTTATACAGAGTGGGTATAATACTTATACATAGCATGTATATTTCTTGTGCATAGCGTGTATAAACTTATACATAGTGTGTAAAAAC